GATTCTTGTGTGATATCTACAGGCCATATCTGGTCCCATTTCACTTTGATTACCCTGTCAAACAAGTCAGCCTTCGCCCCTGTTATACATTGCTTATCACATGAATGGAGAATTTTGTCTCTGTCACAAACACTATAATATACGAATTACTATAGTTTCAAACAGATCTGAAAATAGAGCAATAACAAATACCACACAAAGTTTGGACTTAACATTATAAGCTCATTATTATTTTATTTAGGAGCCTTTGGTTTTGTGCAGCGCAAGAACCCTTTGGGCGTTGGCTCTATTAACATTCTGAACATACTTATCTCTCATTTCATTCCAAATGTCACAGAGAGTTGCAAACAAAGGGTCTGAATTATTAGCAAAGTCGCTTTTCTCCAGTTACTGTTTTATGGGGCTTCAATTAGGGGTATATTTTGACCACAAAAATCTCTGATGGTGACAACGGATTACATTTGTAATCAAAATCATGTATTAAATTTTTGTCTTTAACTCACTGCCTCATCCACTAGAATAATGTTTCATTTGTCAGCATGCCAAACATTATGTTGATATCGTAAAAAAACAAAAAACTTTCCGAATGATACATTTTTTTCATCTTGAAAACGCCCAATTTGAGAAAATACGAGGTCTGTCTCAGAATAAAGTTTCTCTGTCATACTGCCCTCACATAAAAAACGCGCGCGAAAAAGTCAAGGAACAAAAAGACAAAAAAGATAACTGAAAAACAGATTAAACCGAATTTATTAATTTTTTTCCAAAAAGATGCTGTCGACAATTTAGATTAAGTGTGTACAATTTCGGATTTATTTCAACAACGAAGAGAAGCTCACGTAAAATGCGTTTAAATCACACATGTCGGATTTCAAAAGTATGAACAGCCATGGTTCTTCATGAACATTGTGAATAGTGGGTGTAGCCACATTGTTTGATCAAACACTCGGTAGAGCGTCGATGCATGGACAAGGCATGCCTTCGGAGAACTTGTTGCGGTAGGTTCTGCCACTCCTGGACAAGGTAGCACAGGAGTTGTAGAAGGTTTTTTTGCAGGAGGGTGGTTGTCCCTTACCCGCCGGTCAATGTGATCCCAAATGGTCCAGTCGGTTGCAGGAGAGGAACCTTGCCGCGATTAAATTGCCGTGTATATTATGGTACAAGGAGGTCCTGTGATGATCTGAAAAGCCTCCCCACAGCAGAACGGACCCTCCATCGTAGGGCGCCACCTGCTGAGTGCAGTCAGGGTAGAACAGCTCTCCTTCGCGCCTCCAGACACGGGCTCGTCTGTCTTGGCGCAGCAGGTTGAATCTGGATTCGTCCGAGAAGACTACCTGGTCCCACTGACGTTGTGTCCACTGTGAAAGGCAAGCAGATCACGCCCGGTGAGCTGTTTTGTTGAGCAGCGTGTTGCTTGGGCGACTGGCAGGAACATGAGAAGCGAACCTGGCTCTACGGATACGGTTCTGAACGGTTTCCTCGTTCACGTGGACTTTGGTTGTCACCTGTCTTTGGCCACTGATGCTGTTTGCAGTAGTGGTTCAGCGAGCATCATTGGACCATCGTGTTGTAATGAAATATAGCCGAAAAATGTTGGCTTATAATTAATGGTTGCAAGTGAGCGATATTCACGGCTAAAACATCTGTTTAGCACGTGCCAAGCTCAGTTTTAGCCACCAGTCTCTTTGCCAATGTTGCTGAGTCAAAGAAATTTAGCCCACTTTTTATGCTCTGCGCCGTCACTGTGAAGCTCGTGTGAGCAAATGTGCTGTGCTGGCAAATTGTGTTAGGTTGTCAGTGCGTGTGCCAATTTTGGTTGACTGAGCTTAACGGGTTTGCGAGATATCGAAGTTCAAATTTGACAGGTGAAAACACAAGTTGTTCCTTGACTTTTTCGTGAGAGTTTATTATTATAATTCGCCTTGTCAAATACCTATTCAACGAAGGAATCATCAAGTTCCAGACATTTCTCCATTCGATGTACCCAGCGGTCAAAGACAGTGGTCAGTGATCATTTGTCCAAGGCCCTAGGTGTTTTTCTCATAACCTGTTGAATCTGGTCTTGGTCCTAAAATCGCCGACCTCGCAGCATTTCTTTCGGGCGAATAGGACGGGTGTTCCCATAATTCCCACAAGTAGCCCTCGAGAAGCTCGTTCACAACTCTGACCTTGTGAACAGGCGCGTTTCATGAGGCAGGATGACGATTTCTTCAATAAAAGCGGGTCATTTTTCCCGTATCGCCGGTTTCAGTTTGTCTTTGAGGGCGAACCTGTAGTAGCCACCATTAACAGTTACGCCAGGTGGGGATGGCCAGGTCAGTATTTTTGTTGTAAGAGATGAGGCCCAAGCATCCGCTCTGATTTCGCCTGTCCACCCTGATAGATGAGTATCCCACGAATCTTGGTGTCTTCTTTCCTGGTTTAGGTTTCGACTCCTCAATCAGGCATATGTCGAAATCACCCTCCCTCAAGCGAAGCCCAGGCTCGTTGCTTTAGTCGTGATGCCATTGGGCGTTTAAGTTTGATTGAAGGGGTATGTTGGCTGTGTATTGCTTCTGCTGGTTTTCCCTGTTATGCTGTGCCATTTCTGTTCACTTGTTGTGGAACTAGAAATCCAGAGTAGATCTACTCACAAAAAGACTCTAAGTCTAGAAATCTAGAATCTCCAGTCCCTAACAAACAAACAAGTCACAGTTCCAACTCAACACTGTTCATAGTTCAAAACATCTAGATTCTAGTTAATCCAGGCCTTTTACCACATCGAGATAATCAACTTCTATCCAGATCTCTAGTTTCTAGCTCCACAATATAGATCTAAAACCCTTCCCGTTTTCAAACAGTGAACTGCCTAAACTTAAACTCGTTCTTGTCTAGTCTAGACCTCTACTCTCACAGAGCACTGTTCTTGATAGATAAACTCTAGCACTTCTTTGAATTTGAGTGCTTTCTTGAAATTGTTGGCTGTTCAGTAGCCACTTCTGACACCATGTAAAGTTACCTGGCGGTCCGATGAGTCGGGTCTGTCAGGGGGGTCCGTCTAGGATAAATTTTGCCTTGTCGTGGTTCTGTGTAGTGCGGAGCGAGCTTTCGGTCCGCTCTATGGGGTCCTCAGCAGATGTTTCAATCGCTGTGCCACCACCACCCACTATGAAGTCGCTGGGGTTATTCAACCGCTCACAGCTCTCAATTTCAGGCACAGTTACCTTCCGCAGCTGTGTTTGCTAGCAGTCTCGTTGGTTTCATGCACGTCTTGTGGAAGTACTGGGTGCAGGACGTGCACGCAACCAGTGTGGTATTAGGTGAGATCGATTTCCGGCAGCTCTTAAAAGTTGGTTTTTGGCCGTAGTGCGGATGATGGGGGAGGGGGGGAGATCTGACGGTGTAGTTTGTGGTTGTGATTGCCGTTGGTGCCGTGTTGCCGGAGTTTCAATTGTTTCTTGTTCAATTACGAGTGGTGGGGTAGTTGGTTTTTCTCTTCTAAAATCGAAAATCATTTCCATTGTTTTTGAGAGATTCCCTTTTTAGAAAATTTGAATTGCACCATTAAAAAAAATAAACATATTATTGTTTTTAATACTCTTTTTCATCAAGCTTAGTTAATCCGATAATAGCGAAATGAAATGTGAACTTAATCAAGCGTGTTGTTTTATACTTCTATGATCGTTGGGGTATTATTATATTGTATACGAAGCTGGTGACAAAAGTAAACCCCTGAGGACCACCGGTGTTACACAGGATTGTGCCAGATTTTGTGTTGTTCAGCTTAACATTACTGTGGTCAGTCTGTCAAAAATCCCAGGACCCATGCTGCGACATTATGACTAACTCTCAGACTCAGAAGTTTTTCAATGACAAAGTGCGGTTGAATAGCATGCTGAGAAGAAATCGACAAAATACATTGGTGTTATTGTTTTGTTGTTATTGTCGCTGTTGGTGTTATGAATATTTTTTTAATTTAATTATTATTACTGTTATTATATTAACATTGTTATTTTTTAAATTAGTATATTGAGTTTAAACCGTTTGTATGCAGAATATAATTACAAAATAGATTTGCCTATTGTACAAGTTAAACAGCCCTATGAACGAACATATTGATGTTGTGATGACTGGAAATTGTGTTGTGTATATTTTTGCCATTGCGTACAGGACCGGAGTATACAGAGGAACAACTAAAGAATCTCACACCTTGGGAGAGATGGCTGCTTGGCCGAAAACCTATTATTGCTCCTGATGGATACATTCCAAACTCTGTTGTGCGCGCACAGATAGGATACATTAAACCGGAAACACCCAGAGATTCTTGGAAGCTCAAGCCGGTAAGAGTTATTCATAAATTCTATAAACTCAATGTTAACCGTTTTTGCCTTCTTGGGCACTTCTGCCTTATACGTTTAGACAAGGAACAAAAATATGAAAAGCAGTAGTAAACATTTTTTTAAAATGATAAATACTACATGGGGCGTAACAGTGTACAAAGATAAACCACAAAAACAACAACATAGCAATTTATTATTTTTAATACAACATCATCAAAACAACAGCAACAAAAACATTGGCAACGTCAGAGACATGATCAGCTTCCCCAGCAGTGAAACTGCAACGTAATGGTAGCAAATAATAGAACAACGTAACACTAATAGAACCTACAAAAGCAACAGCAACACCACGAAAAAGGGAAAGTAACGTCTTCAAAGCAGGATTATTGTATGGGACCATCATCAAAAACATGTAAACGTGTGTTGTAGTGAAAGATAAGTTTTTCCTTAATGAATCCCATACACACCATCTCTGCCCTTGTTTTGTTTCCCAGGTACCAGAGTCCGATCCACGCCATCTGCCTGAAGGCTACAAACCAATGAGAGAACGGTCTTATAACAGATCAGAGGTAAAGGTACAAAAGTACTCAGCGAGCGAGCAAGGGCGAGTGAGAGAGAGAGAGAGAGAGAGAGAGAGAGAGAGAGAGAGAGAGAGAGAGAGGGAGAGAGAGAAAGAGAATAATTCGAATTACTGAAATGCACTGTCATGTCTTTTCAGTACTTACGCAATTATTCTAGCCAACCCCCACCCTCACCTCGAGGGAGGAATTCATTCAATTACTTTTTGCAGAATCACTAAATACGACTGATAATTTTCTTTTCATTTTTGCTATTTATGTAAGAAATGTGCTTGAGGATAAGTATAGGTGTTTAAATATAGAAAATAGGTATTGTCCTTAGTCCATGTTCAGTTACTTAATGTGTGTTTTTCTAGTGTGTGTGGGTGTGTGTTTGTGGGGGGGGGGGGGGTTGGGGGGGTTATCACTGTTCTCTTTATTTGTCTACGGTTCTTGTGGATATGAAAGACAAACAGCCCCAAGTCTGCACAATTTAAAGAGTAAAAGAGTGATTTTCTTATTTGGAGGGGGGGGGGGTGGGGCAATTCCCAGTCCTAATTGACATGGTTGATTAAAACAATAGCAAGTAAATTAATCTCAGAAGTTACTAAGACAAGCTCTTTGAATGACAAGTTTTAAGTCTAATAATATTTCATAACAGAGAGATTCAGTCAGCGAGGAGCCAGACCTGAATAACATTATGACCATGAGGAACCAGTCCACTGTACAGAGGGTCAAAATACAGCAAAGCATTAAGGAGGCCTCGCTCTACATTGGCACATCCATGTGTCTTCTGCCCGACGGCACTGAACCTGAGGTGCTATACTCAGCACATAACTTTGCTGTGAACATACCTTTACACTGTTTGCCTTTGCATCTCCCACTAACAATCTAACTATTATCTATCTGTATATCTATCTATCTATCTATCTATCTATCTATCTATCTATCTATCTATCTATCTATCTATCTATCTATCAATCTATCTACCTATCTATCTATATATCTATCTGTCTACCTATCTATCTATCTATCTATCTATCTATCTAACTAGGACCTACCAATGGCGCTCCGCACCCATCTTCCCCCCACCTCTCTCTCTCTCTCTCTCTCCGTGTGTGTGTGTGTGTGTGTGTGTGTGTGTGAGTGTGTGTGTGAGTGTGTGTCTCTGTTTGTTTTCAGGCCTGCGAATCTCCCGATCGAGTGGTTTGCAGCCAATCGCAACGAGACTGAGACACGTGTCCATGTTGACACTCAAAATCTGGTTTGCGAACAGAGTTACCCTACTTGTGTGAACAACAATAAAACCGAAACTAACAAACTGTGCTATTCCTATTCTTCTTCTGGATAAACGAAAGAGAGCTTCAAAACATAGACTGCAGCACCATCTGAACTTTTGTAGACACTTATTTGGCCGAGTGAACTAGAGCTATCTTCCTATGAACGATCTTTGATAATAGGAGCCCTGGAAGCAATTGAAGTTAAAGGTTTCTCTACTTTAACTTTCAGGTCGTCGGGTACAATCGCGGCGGGGTTGTAGTGTGCATTGAAACCATTAGAAAACGACCTGACCCGACGACCAGACCTTACCCAACCCGACTCGATCCGCTCTCGCTAGTGGGCACTGCCTATTAGGTTGTACTGGACAAAATGAATCCACGATGCTAAAATAGTGATTATGGCGTCAATATTCAGCCACAGATTGCGCGGAATAGAATCTTCAACAATTTGTGTATGATCAACGCAACTGTTTTCTATCGATTCAACAGCCTGTTGGATTGTTTTTATCAATGGAACCACCCAATTTACTATTGTGTTTGAGGAAAACGAATCGTGTTTCTCACTGATCTTTATTTTAGTGCAGCGCAGGTAAGTCTGAAATTGTCTTTTTGAATATTCATTCAGCATCCTCCAATAAGTTGTGTTCACTCTAGTATTTATTCAGCTGATGTTTATTTCCAATGTTTGCCCGTGCATTTATTTACCTTGTGGTGTGTGTGCTGCTGTTGTTGTTGTTGTTGTTGTTGTTGTTGTTGTTGTTGTTGTTGTTGTTGTTGTTGTTGTTGTTGTTGTTTGTGTTGTTTATATTTGAGGAGTCCACTGAAAAAACGCGCATAGTCACAAACGGAAAAAGGTGAGGGTATCAATTTTGAACACATGTTGACTCATAACTCTATTTCTGTTCAACTGTTGGTTGATCAGATCTATTGTCGTTAGGTTTCCCATCCAACTACACCCCCCCCCCCCCCCCGGGGCAGTGCCACTGACTGTAGTGTCTTTATGCCATTCCCAAAGGGGGGATATTTCTCGTTCAAGCATAGTAGAATTGTAAATGGGCTGACTCATGTCACGCTCATAACTGTGCCTGATCTACAACAGGGAACTGCTGCTTTTTCTTTCCTGATCCTTACTATTGTCATTTTCCTCCTCTTCTTTTGTATGTTTGTCACTCTCTTGTGACCTGCTATTTCCGGGGTGCCTTGATAGTCGAAGCAGACCTTGTGCTGTTGAAGCTAGAGAGATGAGCAGTCTAAGTCTGATTCCCTGTAAAGACTTCTCTGTTGACACCCACCCCTTGGCGCTCATATGATCTTATGCAGTTGCAAGCGCCGTAAAACCCTCTACTATAATTTTTTAAAATACGAAGCTCTGGAAGACACTCGAAAAGTATAGCGTCAGAGGACAAATGTTAGATAATGTCAGAGCTCTATAAACCAGTAAGAACGAAGGATGGCAATACAGACTGGTTCAAAGTAAGATCTGGAGTACGACAGGGATTAGTTCTATCTCCCCTCCTGTTTATAATATATATGGACTCAATAACGCAAGAAGCAAACCAAAGCCCAGAAAGCCTAAATGAATTTCTGTTCGCAGACGACCAATGTCTCATTCATCATGACCAACAAAGCCTCCAAAATCACACTACCGAACTCAACAACACCTGTGAGAAATTCAACATGAAAATAAGTACAACAAGAACAGAAGTTATGAAAGTGAGCCGAAACAATAGTCCCCTGAACATCCATGTCGATAGTAAACAACTGAAACAGCTGAAAGAGTTTAAATATCTTGGCAGCACTTTTTCTGAATACGGATATGGACAGAGAAATAGAAATACGAACTCAAAAAGCCAACGCCTTCACCTACCAGCTCGCACCCCTCCTATCTCATCCAAACATCTCCATGGACACAAAGAGACAGCTTATCTCCTCAATATTCATACCAACATTATGTTATCAGTGCCAGACCTGGACCTTCAACAAAACCCATGAAAGCAAAATCACCTCATGCAAAATGAAATGTTTCCGCAACCTCCCCCCCCCCCCCCCCCCCATGTTGTCACAAGACGAGACAGGCAGAGAAATGAAGACGTAAGAGCAGCTATCGGCACTGAGTCCTGCCTGCAATACATAGAAAGACAGAGGATAAAATGGTTTGGCCACCTGTTACGCATGTCACGCATGTCACCTGACCAGCCAGCCTCGAGAGCTTACAACACCAAGCACTCAGGCTATAAAGAAAGAGGAAAGCCACGCTAAAGGTGGATCGAGGGTGTCAAGGAAACCCTAAGAAAACATAACATCACAACTGAAAGAGCTGCGGAGCTGGCCTGCCATAGAAAACTGCATCTCCCCTCTACGCTTACCGCAACAGAGGATGAAAATGTAAAGTAAAGTAAGTAAGTATTATTTAAAAAATCCCACTACAAACATATAAAATAAACCACCAATCAAACAAGTACATGTATGAAGTTATGAGTTCACAAGCTTTTAGAATTGAGACCCTCACAATTTCCAGTTTGTGACTATGCCCGTTTGTTTTTTGTTTTCAGAGTACTCCTCATCATTGGGGGCGGGGGGGGGGGGGGGTACTGAAGGTGGTTTACGCCTCTATTGACAGAATTTAGATAGTTTAAGAAGCCGGCTTTTAAACCTTTCAATCCCAACTGTCAGGATGACCCAGACTAAAGGCCGATTCACATTGAGCGGTGTGCGGTGACGGAACGGCGATGGCACGACGGCGATTTGCGGAAATTGCAAGGATTTGAATGATTGCGGTGTTTGTGAGCGAAAGTGTAGAGGTATTCTTGTTCTGAGGTAAGGTGCGTCATACACGGATGGATTTTGCCTAACGAGTTCGATACATTTTTCAGAAATTGCAGTTGAAAACTTCGTTTTGCTTACTAGTGGTAATCAGTGAACCTTAAACAGCTAGACTCTCGATCTATAATCAATCTCCGCTTGCAATGGAGCAGGACAACACACCAACACAACTACTAGGACCAGTGTGTCTACCAAAATCCTCTCGACCGCATCGAGACAGGCCAAAATATTCACTTTTTTACAAAATCTAACCGGCTAGATTTAAAAGAGAGAGAGGGGGGGAGAGTGAGAAAGAGAGAGAGAGAGAGAGAGAGAGAGAGAGAGAGAGAGAGAGAGAGAGAGAGAGAAGATGGGGGGGGGGAGTGGAAAAGGATAGGGAAAAAGAGGGGTGTGTGGAAGATGGAACATTGATACATATATAGTCTTAAAATGGGGGGGGGGAGGGGGGGGGGTATCGGATAAAACACATTTTTTGTCATACCTGAGTCGTGCTACTATAGAAAACATAGGGGATTACAGCAGAATGGATACCTGCGTTTTAACAATTAACAAGTTATTGGACTTTAAACTCATAAACTCGACATGTTTCAGAGTTTGTCTTCCTGTTTTGTTTTGTTTTCCTTGTTTATTTGTTTGTTTATTCGTTTGCTTGTTTGTGTGTTTGTTTGTGTGTTGATTGCGGGGGGGATGCTTCAGCGAGGGCTGCTTTAGTCTGAAGTGTAATGAGCTCCATGTAGAAATCTAAATGCCATTGGGATATCTGAAGTAGAACAGTGCCCTGGAGTTGGAGATCCTTTTAATTTTAAGACATGTTTACTGGTCCTGTCCCTATCTATTGGATTGTGCGATTGTGCGACCGCGGCGCGGCCGCATTTTTTCGCGTAATTCTGCAACGTTTGCATAAATTTTTATTTCCCGCGTTTTTTCACTTTTTTTTTTCTTTTTTCACAAAACAATTAACTAACGCCTCGCCATTTGACTAAAGGAAGTAATCACCGTAATAAGTCTCATTTAAGTGACAAGTTGGCTATTTTCCTTGTTAGAAGATCTTGGTTATGGGTTGAGATTTTGTTCCTTGAGTATGTTAAATTTTTCATTCCATCAAAAGTTGTTATTCTCATGTCTGCTGATGTTTCATGTTTGACAGGTGTCCCTGGTTTTAGTAATGTGCCAGCATCAGAGGTCCAGATATCCTTTTTTTTACATTTTTCTTTCCTCTATAGATGATCTAAAGCTACAGCTGAAAGTTACAGAGATTATATTTTTTGGTTGGTTTTTTTTTCTGACTGATGTGAATTTTTTTTCTTTCAAAATCCACAACAAATTACTGGTACTGATTTGTTCTGTTTTCAATTTTTCTGTACATAAAACATGAAATGATGTTACGGTCACTTGCTTAATTTGGGCATGAGTTTGCTTTTTTTGCATAATTTGGTCATCTAAATTTGCATAATTGTATGGGGACAGCAAATATAAGACTGTCAATCGACAAGTAAGACCTTTAATATAGGGCGCTGCACTAGTAGGCATACTAGTAGGCCTACACGCCCTTTACACACATTTCGAATTGCTAACTCCCCCCCCCCCCCTCAAAAAAAATAGATACTGAAAATGAGAATTGCCCCGTTAACCCCAAGCCGTTATTGTTCCTGTAGTTGTAAACTGATCCCACTGTATAATTAAACATGTGTTCTTTTCCCCATAAATTTAATGT